TGGACAATTGTTCGCGTAATGCCCCAGCTATTGACATTGGAAGCATGCACTGACGTTCTTTATGGCCTGCAGGTGGCTAGGGCATTCGACTTTTCAGTGCCCAATACCACCATATTAGTCACATCTTCGCCACGACTCTCCGCCCCTCTGATTGTCGACTGATAGCGCGCTGCTGTTTACGCGCTGCCCTTGGGCATTGGTTGCAGGTGCTTGTAGAGACGGAGCAAACGAAGTTATAGACGTAACATACGCATTTTCTGCAGCTCACCTCTACTGGGATACCGGCGCGTTTGTCGACGGCATCAAAATGTTCATCGCACACGTAACCAGACCCTTTTCGGATCACGATGAGTTCTGCCCATCGGTATATTTGGTCGGTTTCCGCTTCTTCTTCGCTCTCCTTTTTTCTGCGCCACGTTAATGTCTCTTCCTTCCAGGCTATTGATATACATGTGACCGGGATTTTCGTCTTGCTTAACGTGTTACCTTGGTACACGGCGTCCTAGACTAACATGTTCTCCTTGGATAGCGGTGGATGCCACTTGCGGTCGCAATCACGGCGACACTTGAATTTGTTGCCGTAATATTACAGGTCACACAGGTCCTATATCTTCCAGACAGTTCCGGTATGTAAGATGCAGGCTTAACATCAGCAACTTATGTTGTTTTGTTGTTGAAGGTTTTGAACGCATCTGGTGAACGAAATACTGGAATGTAGTGATATAATCGGCGATCGACTCGTTCTCAGCCTGGGTACATCTGCGTAACTCGTCAAATAGGTCCTCTCGGTCTAAGCGGCGTCAGCATTGCTGCCAGAAGTCTTCTGCAAACTCCGCGAAGTCCTTCCATTCACCGTCGTTATTGCCGAACCATACCCCGGCTCGTTTGGTGAACACCGCTTCCAGCGCCGTAAAAACCTCTTCATAGCAAAAGTCAAAACTTTACGCACTTGCGCAACTTTTCCAAAAATCACTCGACCACGAACCCCAATGTTCTCGAAAATTTCAAGCCCTAAGCCCGAAACGCCATCACCGGGTGCGCTGGTCTGCCATTCAGCCGGTGTCGGTAGCTGCTCCATAAGCCATCGCGTGGGTTCTAACTACCTTTGACTATGCGTTCCTTAGTCCGCCTTGGCCGGTAATCTAGCTCGAAAGCGTCTGAGTCCAAGAAACCAATATCTGACTCTCCCGCTTGCCAGCATCATTCTCTTTCAGGAGAATCTGCAGCTCTTCATCTCGCGCGCGGCGTTCTTGCCCTAGTTCTCAGAATAGCCTCCGTGGCCCTTGATGTAACATTTCTTGATTCGGGAATTGGGTCCACTCCTGCGTCCCATTACATGTCTGTAAACTCATGCTTCCATCCACAAACCCGCCAGTTATGGTAATCGTGAGACTACAGTGCGTCAATTCCATTGCGGTATAAGGTAATTGATAATCGCATCACGGGACAAGGCTTGATGTTTACTCTGCAGGATCCGTACCTACGCCCACCGTTGCGCCACCTCATCCCGAGTCTTAGTCCCGCATCACGATAAATATCTCGGTTGCATCCAACTGCTCACGAATCCTTTGGGCAATAGGATTTTCTATTTCCTTGTTTACAGTTATAGGAGATAGCTTTATAGCCCGCCTTTCAGTCGTTGGTCCCACTGTAGGACTCATCGACTCTGGCTGCTCTTTCCAAAGACCCTACATCAAACTCTGTTTAATTGTGAGTGTAAGCTGTCGTTTGCGGTAAATGTGTCATAAACGCGCCTGGGTCGAATCGGACGCTATTCACTCGCATAATCGGATTGGTACACGGGGAAATTGCTATCGAGTCACTAACGCGAAAGGTATTTACCTAAAATGCGATTCCGAAGCACCCCAAGTCACCCTCGGTGTTTAAACCTTGTGTCCTCATGTACGTGTGGAAGTCATCGGCCCTTGTGGCCACTATTCGCGCTCCGGATGTCCGGTTGCTGGCCCAACCGTCGTAACAGGAAGTCATTTTTGCAGGTCTTTCCTGCCATTAGACCGAGGTTAGACGTACTCTACTAAACCGCTAAACGCATACAACTAATTCCCTTATATCGTGAGATCAACAATTTTTAACCGTTAGCCTGACCAACAATGTCTTTTAATCCAACGGTCACGCTTTTTTACAAATACGTCTTTCTCACGGTGTTCATCGGTGTATTCGGTAACACCTCACACGCGTATGCAGATAGATGTTCAATCGCTTCTAAAGCGGTCCGTAACTGTTTACGAATTTCTCCAAAGTAGAGCTCCTACTTGCTGTGAATAAACACTCGTCAGCGATGAGCTCTTGTGTCCAAACGTTCGTACGCATACCAACACACTGTCACGAAAAAAACTGCGGTGAGGAATCGATGCGCTAAACTACCCAATGCCGGTGCACGAGCACACAATGATAAGCGCTCACTTACTCACACATTCACTCACTACAACCCTAACAACAACTGAACCTGGTCCTTCTCAGCTCTCTCAACAACGAGACGCGTAGGAAACCCTACACGGCATGCCATGTAAAGGGAGAGTTCGATTTTACAATAAATTTTTGCTCACCGCTCTATTTACTTAATCATTTACGCGCGAATTTGGAAGGCAAAATGCTTCCGCTACTGAGCAACCTGCTGGGCATGCTGGTTGCGACGTTCGTGTGCGAGAAAGCCTGGAATGAGAAGAAGAATTAAATCAAACTCAATATTATAAATGACAATCCCCGAACTAACAATTTATTTAATTCCAAACAAAGAAATTACAAACTTACATAAAAAGAAAACAAACGAAGAAAAATAGTAACAAAACAATCTTTCGGTGGTACATCTCGTCCGGACAAATACTTAGGACGAAACGGTGTTCAACCACTGCACATCGGCATTGCTGCACGGCATGCAGTGGTGAATTTCTCTAGTAGTCTCAGACAATCATACGTCGCTCGGCAGTTGCATACTGCTCACCGCGGAGCACCAAGTCATCCGAAGTCCGCGACACCGTGGTTATCATGCGCACACCGGCAATGAGCGAAAAAACAGGGAGAAAGAGAAAGGAGACAGAGAGAGAGAGAGAGAGAGAGAGAGAGAAAGCTCACCATAGGTTGATGGACTCAAACACCCACGCCTACTCTTTTCGTGAGCTCGGACGTCGGTGGTGATGGAGCAAACGCCGATGTATCTGCTGCAGTAGCTGTGGATGACCCGACTTTCCGATCAAATCAAACGCAGAGTTCTGCAGTGATCCGCGGTGCTGAGAATTCGTCGTCTTCGTCGTACCTACGACGTCTCTCCGATCAGAATCCAGCAATCTCACTAGTGCTGCTATTACCGCTGATCTACCAGTCCGAATTTCTGCATCAAAACTGATCAAAAACTATGCAAAATCTACTCCATTTCCTCTTCTCACGCTGCCTTTCCTCACCCCTCTCCGCACACCTCCTTGCCCTTTGTCACGCAGCTTATTCGTCCTCAGCTTCCTCAGCCGCTGATCCGCACCTCGAATAATATAAATCAAGCATTAGTAATATGCTAACGCAATTACATTGATCCTCGGCTTAACAATAGTGCACAGACAGCGAGTGGCCAGGAATAACAGGGAAATCGTTATTAAACTGTTTTCTCCGTCATATCTGTAATAGTTTTCGAATAAATCGAGTGTAAACGAGAAAAGAGGCCGTTTTTGACTTTTTTTTTGCTTAAAAGATTTATTTTGAAAACGCACATACGAGGGTGGTCCGATAAGTACTTAGCCTCACCGCCCGATGGCGCCACTCTCGCAAAGGAAATATTATCACGTAGTACAACCTTCTCCATGGTTACTGTCAAGATTTCAGCCGGATCGGAGTTGTAGTTTATTTTTGAGAGCGTGTGAAAGCAAGTGTGTCCGTTGATTTTTGAAAAATGGAAAAAGAGCAGTATCGGTCGGTGATTCGATTCTTGTTTTTGGAAGGGAAATCCCGCAGCGAAATCAAAAAGCGCTTGGATGCCGTGTACGGTGACTCTTCTCCTTCGATCGCGGCCGTCAAAAATTGGTTTAACGAGTTTCAACGTGGTCGCACGTCGATTTTTGAAGAGCCACGTTCAAGTGCTCCAAAAACGGCTACCACGGAGGATAACGTGACAAAAATTCACGATCTCGTATTGGCAGATTGACGATTGAAGGTGAGCGAGATAGCTAAGGTCATAGGCATCTCCAAAGACCGCGTGGGTCATGTCCTGCATGAAATTTTGGGCATGAGAAAGCTGTCGGCGCGATGAGTGCCGCGTTTGCTCACTCCGGACAACAAGCGCAACCGTAAGACAACTTCAGAGCAATGTCTAATGCTGTTTAAACGCAATCCGAAGGATTTTCTGCGTCGTTTCGTGACAGTCGACGAAACATGGATCCACTGGTATACATCAGAGACCAAGGAACAGTCGAAACAGTGCGACTTCTTTTTGATTCCAAACTTGAAAAAGTCACTCGCCGGGCAGAAAGTTGAGTCGAATGAGGAGGTAATTGCTGCTACGGAAGCCTACGTTTCAGACCTCGAGGAAACGTTTTTTTCAGATGAATTAAAGAAGTTGGAGCATCGCTGGGCCAAGTGTATAGAACTAAAAGGAGACTATGTTGAAAAATAAAACGCCACTTTTCCAAAATTTTCGTTTTTCTTTTGTACGCTAAGTACTTATCGAATCACCCTAAAGAATAGAAATAAAAACTAGTTAATGTGAGGTTTTAGTATGTATCAATTTTGTGGTCCATTTCAGAAATAAAATAGGTTCATGCTCTTTAATCGATCTTCGATGTTAATTCTACTGGATTAGTACATCCGGCTCGCTATTCAATTGCAGGAGCGTTCGTACCTCCCGAATTGCCTTTTAAAACAATTTGTGCGGACGGCCGCGAGTAATTTATCAGTATCGGATAGATTACTTCATTAGAATTCCTACATCACAATCTTTAATTCAATTTATTTACAAAAGTATGTTTAAAATATCTAATAAATTTTTATATTTCTAGATTTGTCCCAGGAAATCAATTCCATGGGTAGATTCCTCAAAGAAAACAGTAATGAAGATAAAACTCGGGTAGCAAATGTCATGCTATCCATTGGCAAAAATCTTATATTTTGCGCACAAGAGCAGTTGGCTCTGCATGAGCCTTTAACAAGATTCCATAAAGAACTTGAAACCTTTCGTCAACGAGCTATTGGAGATACTTTAAAAAATGTTTTAGCAATGGAGAAAGCTAGAACGGAGTATAGAGCAGCATTGTCTTGGATGAAAAATGTATCACGACAATTAGATCCAGATACATCCAAACAACTAGAAAAATTTAAAAAAGTTCAAAGTCAAGTTCGAAGGTATGTATGAGTTAATAGAAAATCGTAGCAGACATATCATTTATAGTAGATATTTCAGTTATTGTAGAAAAAAATTTTCCGTACTGTCTTTTTTATATTTTCACAGAAACAAAATAAATATACTAATAAGGCGTCTTTATCTTTTTTCTTAATGGATAGTTAATGACCTAGCCTTAGCAGATGAGTAATTGTAGGTACATAGTAGAAATTAACCTTTATGGTTTTTTTTTCACCGCCCATCATGTGCAGTTATCTATAGGGTGTTGTGTCCAGTGGTCTATAACTTTTGATGTCCAATTTTGTTAATAATCTTCGCAAGCTCTTCAGTAAAAACAATTTAAAAGTACTGTTATCAGAACAAATACATGGAAAGGACTGGGTGCATTTGGTTATACTACATCACTTTTAGTCTGTTATTTTTTTTAAAAAGTGTAACGGGGGAGATAAATCTGAAAATGGGAAATTTATTTAAGAACAAACTCCCACGATGCAGAGCAAACCGCCACTCCGTTAAACACGTATGATAATACGAGTATTCGCCTTAACGTCAGACGATTTATCCTAGTTGTCTTCTATCGATCGGAGTTGAACTCACCTTAAGTCACGTGTTTTGTTACACTTGATGAGTTTTAAGTGTGTTACTCTTAATCTTCTTAATCCCCTAGATGTAATTGGATTAAAACCTAAGCCTGTTTCAAATACTTAAGCTACCAGGAAAATCAAACGACGAAAACGGCGAATAAATTTAACAGACTTTATTTAATAAAAAATCACTACAGTCTTTGTTGGGCCGAAAGACTGACGCACGAAAATAGGATTTTACAATTTAATTATGTTTGGTGAGAAAGAGAGAGAGAGAGAGTAGATTTGAATTCTACCGCGAACTAACGCACGACGCGAATACAAGAAATATAACGCTATCACGGATAGACAAAATACCGAATGTATTTTGTTTCGTTTAATATCACGGAAGGTGCACCTACCATGCGGTGCAATTACGGTGATCAGCCGTAATTTTTGTTGCAAAATTATCAACTTCCGCTGCACCTCGCTTAATCAGCTGCACTCCCTCAATTCGCCTTTATATGCTGCAAATCTGCTGCTTCTGCACCGCTGCTTGCTGCTGCAATATTACTGTTGCACCCACGCACGTATTTGTTCGGAAAACAAATTATTTTTGCGAATCAAAGTGCAAAACACAAATCGGCGGTAAACTCGCGTAAACAGCTGAGGCGTAACTACTTATTCAAATAATCGCGCGCCCCCTCTCTCTCTCTCAATAGTTCGAACTAACGCGCGAGAAGCAGAATCGCGAACGGTTCGATTAATTAAATCGACTACCGTTGCAAAAGATTAACATATTCGTAAATGAAATGACAAAACTTTTCTTTACGTATTATTTTCACCAATCGAGTATAGCTTCAACTAAGGTCTAATATTCTTGTCATTCTTTCATTCTTATTAACAAATGATGAGAATAAACGAAGATTATAGATTTTTTCGTCATGATGACGTAGGCCTGTGAAAATGAGATCATTATTTTTCTTCAGTGATCGAGGGTCATTTCTGAACTAATTTTTTACGTAGAAAATAGATACGGCCACAAAATCAGATCTAAGTATCCTAACCCAAAAATCTAAAAAATATTATTTCATGTTATATTACGGGTATGATAAAATTGTAAAATAATTTTTTCTTAAAAAATGGTTCAGGACATTTTAAATTAACAGTCTTTCCCTTTAAATCCTATTCTTTAAATTTAGTAAGCCATTTTTTTATGGAGATATTGTTATTTGAAATTAAATATTTACAAGATTTCATTGTAAGCTTTACAAAACAGACATTTTTTTAATAAACAAATATAATGTTTCTACGTTTTATGGATAATTAATTCTGAATTCACTCAAAAAATTACTCAATAGACTTGAATTTTCAAGATCTTTTTTCTATACAGGCTTAAAAAAAAGAACTACGCTGTAAATATAAGACGCAACCAACGTCGGCCAGTGGCTCTTCTTTTTCTTTACGATTTATATTTATTCAATTAAACGACTATCGAAGAGTTACATATTTTTGCGTATTCATATAGTTAAAGGTCTGAGAAATATTTTGTGACCGAAATCGAAAGCATTGATGCATGAGACCATTATTAAAAATTAAGTTCAATAATTATAAATAGATCGACGAATATTGTTTCTTTCATTTGAAAATATAAACTTCTATGAATCTATCATCAAATTTTTATAATATTTCACTGAAAAGTGTCCGAGTAATTAATTTTTATAACTAATATTTATTTAAATGGTCTTATATTCTTGACTTATATTTTGCATAAAACGTTTTAATTTCTTTTTCCTCTAATGTTATATAAAGGTTATTTCAGATGGTGTCATTTGTTATGAACAATGGTGTACGAATAACATTTCCTAAGACTTTTTTTTAAATTTTTTTCAAGATTTCTATTTTTGAGTTTCAAACGACACAATATAATTGAATGTCATAAGTCTAGAATGGTTTAATTAAAGCTTCGTGAAGCAGTATTTTAGTTACGATTATGAGCTTCAATTTTCCTCCTATGAGCCATTTTTATCCATTAGAGTTGTAGTTGTTTACATTTTCTGAATACATATTCCTTCCATGTGAGGTTTAAATATAAGTATATTCCCAGGTATTTGACATGATTAATTTTTGTTATTTATTAGTATTTCCTATACTATTTGTATATCCAACTGTTATGTGATAATGGCTGTATCATTTGTATATATTACTGTAATGATGATTGGAAACTTTGACAGATCAGTGAATAGCAAGTACATTGTTGACTTAAGTACGTCACCCTGTGGAACTTCTGCATTTATTGACTATCGTTTTGATAATTTTTTAAAATTTATTTTGATTCTAAAGGCTGTATTTTGTAAGTATGATTGAAGTAATGCATAGCATTGTTTTAGAAAACATCATTTTAATTTACACAGATGTCCTTTATACCATAATTATCAAATGCCTCTACAATGTCAAAGAATATGGCAGTACACTATTGCTTTTCCTCAATAGATTTTATCGGAGCAGTTACCATTCTATTATTACATCTTGTTTAAAATTAACATTAAAATAAGTGAAAATCCAATACGCATAAGTCACAACAAATTGCTGCGTAAGCACTTACCACGAAATACGATGTTTCGCGCAATGCTGAAAAGCATAGCGAGTCAGTTCATACATGAGCTCTGTGCAATGTCGGTTCGGCAATTGGTGTGATAATGGATTGAATTTAAAAATACATTGCGACACTTATTCTATATACTTTTACTTGCCACGCTTAGGTTCAAAATATTTTTTAATTCGGCTTTTGTACGTTGAACATTTGACTATTTACAATAAATTTTCAACTTGTTCATTGATGAAATTGTGCTATATTTCATTTCATCAACCTACCTTGATACTCTTATTCTTATCATAAATGACAAATACGCCAAGCGACAACAGCAGTCCAAACTTGCCATAAATACTATAACTACGAATCGAATCAATTCAACAACAAGGTACTCTAAATTATATTCTTTTATCTAACAATCTTACTAGATTTTTATTTGAGTTTAATCTACTAACAACATATTGGAATGTCCCGTACATTAGCTATTCGTATTTGATAGTCAAGACGTATCAGTTGACACCGGTACAAACTTAAGTGAAAAGAACATGCAAATTTTTACTTATATTTCATAAATTTTATATTGGTAAGTTGTAAAATATTTACTATATATCGATTCAAAATACTATTTCTATACTGCTAATAGCAATCATATCAATTAAACTAAAAATACGTTAAATCTTTCATTTTTATTCAATCATTGCATTCTAAACAATATCATATTTAAACATATTGGTTTTTCTTTCTCTCTATATTAATAACGAAGAAGTCAATGGAATATTTATCGTATTATGAACGCAAGCATCACGTCGTACTTTTTTCGGCGCATGGCGCGGTAGTTGACCCTCGAAAACTACAATTTTGCCGAATCGCAAAATCTAGTAGAAAAGAAAACAAGCAGGTCAATTGGAATGAAATATTCTCGATTACTAAGACGAATGTTGCCCTTTTATTTTCCTTTTCTATTTTTCTAATTTTACACAAACTGTTTTAATTACAAAGAAATTTATTACCTTTATTATAAAAACAGCACCTCTGTTTCGTTCTTTCCTCTCATCTGTCCCTTTAACGAGAATTAGGACATGATCAAATGTACAAAAAACCGGAATAAACTATTCGACAATAAAACATTTGCACGGTCTCAAGTAAACAAAAGTTTTTAGAAGGGCCAATAGACGAATCAGCATTCAGAATACGTACTAGAATACTACGGTCACCTGTGAAACTAGGACAAATTCGAGAAATAATCACGACTAGTAAGGAACCGACAGAAGTAGAACAAATAGAAGTCTATAATATAGAATTGTCAAAAGCTTAAATCTACGAAAACGAAGGCTTCCTAGTAGATCACTGTTTTAAAATTAGAAATAATTCGGGAAACTCCAAAACTCTTTAAAAAGGAAACGTCTAGAAAAAAAGCAATATGGTAAGACGTTCCCAATACAAGCAATTATATCGCCATAGCAAAGACAGAAAAAACTCATAAATGGCAAATCAAATTCAAAATTATAAAGAAATAGAGAGAGATAAACCAGAGACAGAGATGATGATAACATCGGTCGCATACCCTATTGAAATAAAGAACACCGAACACAGACGGAGATAATGATACAGAAAAATCAAAGAGAGTTCAAACTCTGTTAAAGTTCGTGAGTCATTAGAAATAACGACTTCGATAAATATAAATACTCAATCATAAAATGAAACAGAGAATCCACTGAATATAGGTGAACCTAGCACTATGAAAGAATTCAAAGACAAATTATTGGAGTCAGACAACGAAACGGAAATATACGAATCTACTTATAGAAATCTACAAGAACTTGGAATCTGTAACATGAATAAATTC